AATTGAAATATATATATATATATATATATATTACTAGGAGAACATTGATGACCACCTGGCATACCTCGTGATATGCCACGTGTCACGATAACCACCTTAACAAGAGACCTTCCAATCATGATGGCCTTGGTTGTATCAACCTCATCGACTGTCAAGTAGTAGAATACTAGGCATAACCCAGTCAACTTAGAACCCACCTAGCTTGAATGTCTCGGCCACGTCGGTTATCGAGACACGAGTCTGATGTTGTTCAACTCTCAAGAGTTGAGCTTGGACGTCTCGGGTATCTCGGATACCGAGACATAACCTTATCCCTCTTGGCCAGGCTGAGAGCCGAAGAGATTGAGACACCTAAACTAAATGTTAAAAAAATCGTGCTATAATAAATTATATGATTAACAAAGATAAGAGGAGATTAAGGAATAATTTGTCATCGGTCGTCGTATTACCTAGTTTGGTAATCATGGAACAAGGCCCATCATGCCAAGGTCCATTATAGTTAGTATAAATAGTCATACAAAATGAGGTATGGTTACTGTTCATTTTATTTCTACTATCGATATTCATGCTTGTCTTGATTTGAGCGTCAGAGTACCTTTTGCAAGTACCTCTCTCCCACTGTATTGTGACTCGAAGCTCCTGGTCGACCTTCAAGATACGAGAAGATTATCAGTGTGCCCTCAAACAGGTGTGTGTGTATATATATATATATATACATACATCAAATTTTAATGATCCAACTGTTGAATTTAAAGTTTTTAATACATAGATTAAATATGAAAATTTTTTAAAAATTTGAAAACTATTTAATACGTTGTTTCATTAATTTAAATCAATGTATAAAATAATTTTAAGATTATCCGTCAATTTGAATTAAAGAAATCAAGTATCAAATTGTTTTCAAATATTTTAAAAATTTGCATATTTGATCTATGCATTGACAACTTTAAATTCAACGGTTGGATCGTTGAAATTTGATGTAAAACATGAGTTATTGAACAAAGTAAGTCTAGGTAGACTTACTCTTAGAGTAAACGGATCTCTCTTCTCTCTCTTTATCTCTCTCTCTCTCTCTCTCTCTCTCTCTCCTTAATCCTTCACTCTTGTAATTCACTTTGATGCTTAATGAGATTTCTGAATTTTTCAGCCAAGTCTCTTCCTCTCAAAGTCACCTAAAAAGCCTAGTCTTAGCCTTAGGAAGATCACTTCTCCTAAGCCTTGTTTGTGGGCTTTCTTTTGGTTCTCTAGCTAGGATACTTCCTTCCTTAGCTTAGGGAAACTCTCCATTATTCTAAAATTCATCCGTTCATTCTTGAGTTCTTCATCAAGAAAGAAGGTCCGTGAGCTTGGAGGAGGCAAGGGAAGATCAAGATTCACTTCACCTACCTACTTCCATCATTTTTTGTATCAAGAGCAAGGTTTTCTTCCTTGAAATTTAAACGTTCATTCTCACCGATTGGATTCTTAATTTTCATTTTAAATTTTCACATCTTGAGTTTCCTTGTGGATCTATAAATTTTTGAAATCAATTCTCCATAGATCCAAGTGTTTGATTGCATTTTGGTTCAAATCCGGAATCAAGATGTGTTAGGATTCAACTTGTGCCAATTTTCTTTGATTTAAGTCATTGTTAATTTTGATTGTTTGATTCGATCATTTTGAGTCATATGCATGCGTTTTCTTTTGATTTCTGAATCTTAAGTTTGTCTAAGTCATGTTTGTTGGTCCCTACGGTTAGAATCTAGAAGGGGGGGTTGAATAGATTCTATGTTATTTTTCCTTCTCTTATTTGCTTTCTAAATCTTTACCAAACAAATCTTGATTTAAAACAAACCTTTAAACATAAAAGGTAATTCAGAGTTATAAATGCACAGCTTATCCAACAAGATTTGAATAACAAGATATGTAAAGATTGAATTTATCAATTACCAAGAATCTTTAAAGTTCAGTTTCTGCAGATAATGTTTTTCTTCATACAACATTAATCAAGAAACTTATACAGAATGTAAAGAGTGTAAGGGTTAAGAAAATCATGCACCAAGATATATACTGGTTCAGCCATCCAAAGGCCTACATCCAGTTTCAGATTTAGATACACCTCTAAATCCAGTCAAATCCACTATTGATATTCTTTACAAGCACCCTGCACAAGCAATATCCAATCAATGAATTTAACAAGCAAATCTTGACACCCACAAGATTAACAAACCATTTCTTGACTCCACAAGAAACATATAACCCAAGAATATTGATCCCACAATATCCTACTTGAGAAAAACCTATCTCAAGATTTCTCTTTACACAACTCTTCCAGAGATTCTCTAATCTCAAGAGTTAAAACCATTCAAACAATAAAAGATCAGAAACGAGTACACCTGTTCGTGTAGATATGATCTTCAACAACGTAAACCAGTTTAGAATGAATTTTCTATATGAACTTCATCTTCTTGAATTGATCTTGCACACTTCTTTTTCCAAAAGTTGATTTTCAGCAGATATGTTCTTTCTTTCTTTTTCAGAAAATCTTTTTCTCTTTTGCAGTAATGTGTATTC